TGCACTTATTTGTATGGCTTCTGATACCGCAGTGTCCGTTCGATGTCATAGGACGTAACATTAATTAGAAGCAAGCAAAGTATGTATAGAAGATAATATTTATCATTACTATTAACCAAAAGATATTATACTACAGAATGAAGGTCTGCACTTAGTCCGCTATGCCGAAATACCATCTGTCACTTATGTCTGATCCGAAATCTTAGGTCCACTTACTGAGTGTACACCACACTACACTAATACTTACTAATTAGGGGTTTAAAGTTACTTACCTATGCAAGGACGTGGAAAAAAAGACGGACACAGTATCTTCAAACAACGAATGTGGCACCTAGCTACTATACAGTTACACGCAGAATACACACACATTGACACGTAGGACATCTGTCGCGTCACATGGGCCGTCATTACACTTAATACCTCACAGTGTTGCAAGTACACGCACACATAAATACACCGCTGACATTTTGGTGCTTCAATCATTTCTAAGTGACATTACGTCCAACTTTTTTCAACGTCCTTTTACCTATTTTTATTAAACAGTATCTGATTGACAATATTTAAGCCATTAGTATACTTCAGTGGCTACCAATAGGTAATAAGAAATATGTGAAGATATTTCATTTCGTATGACAAACAATACGACGTTAACACTTCGCGAAGGATTTTTTTTTTAAGGGGGGAAATCATCGAATGACTGCTCCCGCCTGGGTGAGGCGGTAGGGAGTGTCAGACTCTTACTGACTAAAAACCACCCCGTTCCTTCTCCTGCACGTCGAGCCGGAGCCCCGGTTACCCGTTAGGTTCTCCGCGACTCCGAATCGGCATCGGCCCTATTGGGCCCCATCTGTGGTGGCCTGATGGCTCTTTGAGGCGCGCGCACTTCGTGAAGGATAAGGAGTCATTCATGGCAATAGTAAATAGTTTATACATGATAACAATTTTAGTCCTTTTTCCAGTTCCTCTTAACATTTGAGAGACCTAAACGGTTCATTAATTACATTGACACGAAACTTATGCATAATTCTGCGTAGAATAGACAATTAACGGAGTGTGCAAGTAATTGTTTCAATTTGAATTCATTAGTTAATAATATTTGAACTAGATAGTAGGTAGGCTGGTTCACTTCTCATTTACAGCTTGCATAACGTAATGCAGTTATGATAGATACTGTGAATGAAGTAACACGTACTTGCAATACAGCCTACAACGGTTCAATTGGAATATTAATGGCTACAGTTATACAGTTCACTGGATTCGGTTTCAGCGGCTACAAAATTGGTTGAGTCTTTCCTAGGAGACATAACACAACATAACATCACGCCTTTTATCCCCGAAGGGATAGGCAGAGGTGCACATTACGGCACTTAATGCCTCTGTACAATTTAACACCCACTGGGGGTGAGCTTATTTCACAATTCCAGACTAGGTATTTTTTTAAAACCCAGTAATATACTTTGCCCTACCCGGGAATTGATAAAATTGACGTGTAAAAGTGCTGCCTTGTAGCCTATTTGCAGAAATAAATTCACTTGTTTCACAATTGAACCCGTCGCCACTTGCTCGGCAGTTGCACTTGCGACCACTCGGCCAACGAGGCAGTCCTAGTCCCAGTTACTTAATCTTCTTAATAAAGAATTTATAAAAGCTTTACTTATTGTGTCCTGAGACATAAGCATAACATAGAAGACAAATTCTTAAGCAGAGTTGGAAGTATGTAGGAAAGAAAGGGTACTCGAAAATGTTGTCCTGTACATTATAGATCATAGGATGTATCTATCCGTTATAGGACAGCAGTACCTACCTATTATCAGAGCAGTAGCAGTGCGAAAGTCGTCGCGTTGCGAGTTGCGAAATGCTGCTGAGGAATATGAGCCTCTAGTATGGCTTGAAACTAGTCGAGTTCCTCGTCAAATAATTACGTGAGTAAGCCGAAAATATAATAAAACATATTATCAGAGTTGTGATGTGATATGTTTAATCTCTAATAAACACACACACAAAGCTAATTACTATTAGTCCTCTCAGCAACAATTACAAAATACCAGGGAATTAAGACGTTCTCGTAGGCAAATAGTTAAGAAACCGCAAATCTTAGAAGAGGTAACTAAGTAAACCCTCACGGTGTCTTGAGCACAATATTACCGTGACAGAGTGTGTGCAGAGTGCCGCCATATTGGAAACTAGGGATGGGATGGGTATAAAATTTCGGATTTGAATATGCATACAAAATTTCGGATTGTACATTATTTTCTGTTATATTTCCGCTCCGTTGACTGCCTCATTGGCCGAGTGGTCGCAAGTGCGACTGCCGGGCAAGGGGTCTCGGGTTCGATTCCCGGATAGGGCAAAGTATTACTGGGTTTTTAAAAAAATCTCAGTAGTAGCACGGAGCCTGGAATTGTGCCCGGTATATGGCAATAGGCTCACCCCCTGTTACAAGGGACTCATAACATAAATAGTGAAAAGTGGGTGTTACATTGTACAGTGGCATAATGTGCACCTCTGCCTACCCCTTCGGGGATAAAAGGCGTGATGTTATGTATGTGAACGGCTGAACCGATTTAGCTAATTTTCGCCTTGAAATGTTCGTGAAAATCCGGGGAAGGTTTAAGGGGTGAAAAAAAAAACAGTTGAGGCGGTATGAAATTTGCCAGATCAGCTAGAACTTAATATTTTAAAGAATTCACGTGTAAAAGAGATAGAGTACAAAACAATCACAAATGTAATATGTATACGTAATGTATAATAGGTAATATATGCTTTTCCTGGGACGATCAACGACTTCGCACGAGCCTCAGGTAGCCATTGTTTGCGAGGCTTTTATTTATCAGTGGACATATTCGGGCTAAAGATATTGATAATCTAAAAGATTGCCGCCAATTTTTATATCGGATTTGGTTACGGATGGTTTTAATTTCGGATATTCGGTTCCAGTTATGGAACTCCATAACATCTCTATTGGAAATTAGATACGTGGGCACTACGCAATGTTTATGCGTCAGTTTCAGAGGGTGCTCGCTCACATGTTCATTCAAGGTGACACACTAGAGGTCTGCTTACCTACTTGAGTTTCAGTTTGAGTTAAATCTAGGTATAGGTATTAATATTGTATTGTATGTACATTAAATAGTTTGAGTGACTAATCTAGTTGTTGATGTATGGAAAAATAATGGGAAAATTTAACGCGGTAATTGTTTTTTAACAGAAGTAACACTTAACATCGACAGCCTATAAGTGGCCAGTGCTGACTATATGCCTTTTCTGACACGGATAAGGTTTGAGCATTAATCGCCACGCTTGCTCAATGTGGATTGGTAATTTCAAAGTTATAATTAGAAATTATAAGCTTGGGATTCCAAACGATGTTTTCCTTTACCGTTTGTCAGTGGTGTCTAAATAATCTTAGAAAGTGCATGTAACTCGGAAAAAGTCACATTGGCACTTGCCGTTGATAGTTTTCGCACCCCCATGCTTGAGAAGCGGGCGTCTTAAACCTCTGGGCTACCACGAAAAGGTTAAGGCTCGCATCTAATGGCATCTATTAAGCACACCTAGATGCGATTGGTCATAAAATAAATAACATAACAGATATTGACGTCTAAAAATGATAAAACATGTTACTAGATGTATCTGTGTAGGTGGCCAGATTTATTTTGGCTAGATGTTTTGGTAAAATCAAAGAATCTATAAAAACCTTATATTAAGCTGAATGTCACATCGCCACAAGTTTGTACCAGTAATCCAGCGACGTCAGTGACGTCACTACGACATTTACATGTGTATTGTACATAAACATCATTGAACGAGGTAATAGAGGTCTGAATGAACCGACACTAACGCTTTGATGGCCTGTTAAAATACTATAACTGGCCGGAGTTAGGACCGAACCTTATTCAACTTTTGTCACAAAGTATCGTTCGTATTCAAATGATGTATCGTTGCTTGAGTGGGTCGTAATGTTGAACAAGAACATCGGTTTTAGTTTCGGATCTGGTAAAAATGTTGTTGGTGGTTTGGATTTAAAATTTTCGTTAATAGCATAGATTGAAATAGTTTGCAGTATCTGGAGATAGGTTCGCTCGTTCTTATGTTTAAGACATTTAGTTTTAGCTCGGTGTGCTTGGTGTATCTAAGTAGGTATATCTTGAAGTTTTACAGAGATTGTGTAGGCGTATTGTGTAACAAAATTGAATGATTAAATATTCACGCGACTTATATAAGGTCTTGAACAAACTTGTTTTAGGATTACTTCTTATTTGTAGAATATTTTGTTTTATTCAACTTTTGTCTAAATTATTCAGTATCAGGGATCATTAACTAAACATGTATATTAATGTCTATTTTTAAAAGATTTTCAACCTCATTGCTACACGTTAAGATTGAAAATCAATTTATTTGACAGACTGGGCTGTCTTGATGTGCTATAGCATCTTCTATTTTACTTATTAAATACTAATTAATGGTCTTGGAAACTAACAACTGTAATCATTATTTGGTATTTATACCATGCCGCGTCGCTCCGGACATAATTATATCTGTAACGGTCGAGAGCAAGTTGTTCCGAGTGTCTTTGGTGTAATATAATAGTAAGATTATGTATGGTAACAGTGTGTTAATGCAACAATATCGTTTGTTGGCAAGTGATGGTTATTGAACGGCTTTACATTAGACCCGACTGACCGAGCTGGGCACACAGTATTTATTAAGGAAAGTACTGTTATTTCGGCGGGGCAGAAAATGGGAACTATTATGGAGTATGGGTAGGATTAAAGTTTGCTATTTATACAGATACCAAAGCACTATACAATTTAAATTCTATGATATTAAAGATTACACCTGTTATTGCGTGAATTTGCAATTTTAAAACACATCTGTTTTTCCAAACTACAGCTATGGTTACCCACAAATGAAACAATAATTATGTACAGTTTAAACGTCGTTCATATATTTACATCATCACAATATCAGTCAAATATAATATGAAAGTTTCACCTTATCTAACAGTACATCATTAGTTCATCTATAGTGCAGGACTTGCTGCAGCACTCGTCCACCAGGCCGCGCTTGCCGCGCATGCCAGCCAGCGCGCCCGCCGGCGGCACCCACCAGCTGCGCTTGTTGAGCTCGGGGCCCCAGCACAGGTTCGCCAGCGTCTCGGAGAGCTGTCGGCCGCAGTAGATACCCCCCCTGACTTGTGACACACACATGTAGGCACAGCACGCCAGCACAGCAGCGAACAACACAAACTTCATCATCTTGAAGAGTTAAACTGAAGTACTGTAACTTGGTGTGTAAGTCCCAGACGATGGGGTTGGAATGTGCTCTGTACAACGAACCCCACCCTTTTATACCACGGGGTAGCTCATTAATATACATTTTAATTTTTGACATATTGTAATGAGCAATTAGGTTGCTTACTTCCCACACTTTTCTTATTTGTTGTAGGTATAATACCGACGGTCTAGTCTAGGTTTTGTATACGGTACTGTAAACAAGGCATGTGAAAATGTTCTTCACACCTACGCTACGTCTGTCTTATCGACGTAGTAGTTAAAACTTGATGATATGGATAGCGATTGAAAGCAAAACTATTTCTCCCTGTCTATTCCTAATCCGGAAAAGGTATCACTTTTCTTTTAGTGCTGAAGAAATTAGTTATATCAACCTGTACTGACATAATGGTCTTACAATCTATCAAAGGTTAAGCATATAATTACCAGATAACTAATAGTTTTGTTTCCAATACACCTATATTAGTAGTTCCATCTCCTAAGTTCCATCGTAGCTCGTAGTAGACTACGAGGGATTAGGTAAATAACAGTCTTTAAAAAGTTAGAAGTTTAATGAGATAAGGTCCTAAGATGGGAAGCGATCAGTGCCGCTCATGGACCCTCGTAACACAAGACCTGACAATCATACTTGGCTCACCTATTTTAATCTAATTAAGTTTCTTTTACATTTGACTGATTGATGAATAATTTCCATACAGCAACTTATTCAGACATTATGCAACCGGCTCTAAATACTTTTTTATACGTTCCGGTTGCCGGGTGCCGGTACCGTTAACCCGGCTGCAAAGTGTATAGCCATATGCGTTACGGAATATTCTGCCGTACTTTTACAGAAACTCCATACCGGCTGTCCTGTAACCGAGGCGTGTGAAAAGAGCCTTAAAGTTGATGTCCTTGATGATTAATTTATCTCCACGGTATGTTTAACAATTTTCTCGGCTGAAGTAATGACGTGCGTAATTGTGTCGTCGAGGGAAACCTGACTTACGTAATAATGTGGGATGCAGTAGGACATGTAGGTGACATATTCTAATAAGGTGTTACGAATATTAATGAGCTACATCCAGGTATAAAAGGGCAGAGTTTTAAGGGAGAAACACATTCCAACCCCATTCACCGGGACTTACACATCGGAGCTTCGTATTACTACAGCAGCCACAGTCACCATGATGAAGTTTGTGTTGTTCGCTGTCGTGCTGGCGTGCTGTGCCTACGTGTGCATGGCACAACAAGGACGAGGTGTCTACTGCGGTCGTCGGCTCTCCGAAATGTTGGCGAACCTGTGCTGGGGCCCTGAGCTCAACAAGCGCAGCTGGTGGGTGCCACCTGCGGGCGCGCTGGCTGGCATGCGCGGCAAGCGCGGGCCTGTCGATGAATGCTGCGAGAAGTCCTGCACTATTGATGAACTAATGATGTACTGCTAGTTGTCGAACGATTGACTGTGACATTCGTGATGAGTCTGACTTACCTTTAACTGCCGTGTTTTAGTTTACTTTAAACGTTGACCATGAATTTATAGATATTTAAATAAATATAACTTATTCTTGGACGTTTCCATCTTGTGTTTTCATTCCTCTTATCTACATTAGTACCTTGTAAGTACGTTGTAAGTGTTTTACCTTAGAAAAATTGCACAATTTCAATGTTGTCAAGTAAGAAGATATATGTAATTATGATACAACCAGTTACACAGCTTGAACATGGCGACTTAACGTCTAACGCAACTAAAATGAATAGTATTTATCTATCGGTGTTAATATGATAATCTATGTAAGCCCAGCTCATAACTAACCCGGCCAGCTGTTAATTACTGGCCATGATTATAACTTGCACGCTCTGACACACTGATAAGATGTTGATAAATAAATCTCAGATTTTCTTCAAAGAATAAAGAACTTTAGGATTGTTATAATGGGGATTTCAGTTGCTTTTAATACTTTATAGTATATGTAATACAGGCTGTTTTATTAATAGCTGATTGTCCCTCATTGTTAGTTAGTATTGGAGATCGAAAGTTTGGTTTAGCAAATCTTGTGTAACCGTGTTTTTTGTGGAATAGGAGGCAAACGAGCAGACGGATCATCTGATGGTTAGCGATCAGCACCTCCCATGGATTCCCGCAACACGCAAGAAGTCTTTAGCAAATAACTTTATTGGTGCCTGATTTAAAAGTAGTGTAGGTATGTGTTATTCTCAGTTACAGTTTCCATTATCTCCATGGAATATTTCCCTACAATACGTTTCTACACAAACTTTCAAGTGTGTATTGTAACTATCCATTAACTGTGTATACACAACACATCTGAACTGAACCCTTCAGAATATTAATGAATATTCTATTTATAATTTAATGAATGAACCCCTTCTATCCTACAGATTGCCACGTTCAGGTAGTTTCATTGAGTCGTACAGTGACGTCACAGTACAACTCCCACGCATGTGACAGTTGTGTATTAGGTACAAAGCGTAGACATTACTGAATAATTAATTCTATTAATTTAAATATTTATCTGTAAATAATTGACAAGCTGCTGGGCTTGATCCAGAATGTCTAGCTACGAATGTAAATGTGTGACATGACAAATTTTGTTGAAGTTTGTTTTATTCTACTGTTTATTTTGGAGTGCTAATATCAATGACTAGTTTCTGCCACCGGCTTCGCTCGCGCTCTCGGGGGTGATAAGTTTCATATGTGTTATTGCAGACCTATCCCTATTCCTTCAGTCGTTTTGATGTGATTGTGTAACAAACACACACAGTCACCAACTTTCGAATTTATGATATCAGTAGGATTATTTATCATTGGGATTTTGTTTATGTGTAGATCTACTACTATGGATAAGTTTTTATAATAACTATCGTGAGGCATACTAAATTAACTAAAAAAATCACGGGTTACTCACGTGAACATACTGAGAAAAGCTCTACTAGTTTCGAACCACAGAGGGGATTTTCCTCATGAGCAGCGTGCGCGGTCGCGGAGGTGTCGCGCAGCCTACTTTTTTTAGTTTATTTACCATGGATAAGTTCACAAAAAATAAGAATGGGCTTCGACACAGCAAGTTTTGACGCTTTCTGAAATAAGGCTCTCTAATCGCTCTTATTCGCAAGAACTTAAGAATGTAAGCCATAAATTAGGTTACGACCATCATTATTTAATTGCAGGCAAATCAAGCAATTTGTTCGATCTACAATAACATTAATAAATGTTGGTCGTAAAAACGATCACTTTTATGAGTATGAAGAATTTATGCGCGTGTCCATCTGGGTGGTACCACTGTGCAAGCCGGTCAGAAGGTTAACTGCATCCGTAAATCAAGCAGATAAAACCAAGTTTCAATGGCTGCTTTGTTCATTATAAATCGATTTATTTGATTAATTCTGTCTTTTAATGTCGCTGGAATTAAATTATTTGTTGCGACTATCTCCAGCTGTAGGCTTTGCTTATAGATTTTATTGAGCTTATTTTGCTATTTATTCTGCTGTTGTTCTCACTCATATTGGAAGGGGGGACTCCTTCATAATATTCTCAAAATTCGCTATTACATGCGTACTCAATTATTTACCATGTTTTACAGTTTAATTACTTATAACTTATTACAATCGCTACCATAAGTAACTAAAATACTTAAGAGTTCATTACTTTTGACCCAAACAAACAAATAAACGAGGCAAGCGAAATAAAACTGTTCAAAAAAAAATTATATAGTTTTTGGTAATTAAGTGAGGGCAAATGTTGGAGAGACTAATGAGTAAAAGACTTAAGTAGCAATTGACAGTACAGTAACAAAAAGTTAACCACGGCGCCTTTAATGCATGTGTGAATGTGAATTGCATCAGAGAAATCATCTTTGTACCAAAAGAAATAAGGACTATTTTCATCAATCAACCTCTACAAACGTACTACTGACGACACAGAAACTAAGATTTATAATGAGCATAAATTAAGAGTAGTTAATAGAAACAAGCTTAGTTATCTGTGGTTATCTGTGCGATCGGCTGATAGGCCGGTAAGTGGCCGCCATTGTCTCACAGCTTATAAACGACGTAGATAATCTGATCAGATTTATTACTAGATACGGTAACTGAGGTGCCACCTTTAGTTTTCAATATAGGTATCGATGTATCTTTGAAACTGCTTTGTAATCGTAGGTTTAATGACTGTCACGATAGTTGAGTTGTTGCAAACTTGACTGCTGAACAAGGGGACTCCAGCATCGGGCTGTTAGGGAGATTTCTTGGGCTGAATAAATGATGATGCTGATTTCGAAGTATAGGTACTGGTTTATTCAACGGTAAGTCAGTACGTGCTTAACAAAAATACATAGACGGTGCGCGAAGCGTACAGTGCTCACAGCTGATCGGGTGAACAGTGGAAGCCGCGATCCTTGTAGGTGCATGGTTGTTCCCCGTGCAGCGGTGCCCCGCTCTGATGCCATCGTCAGTGCTGCCTCCGTCGACGTCACGTTAAGTTCAACGTTAACATAACATCACGCCTTTTTTCCCTGAAGGGGTAGGCAGAGGTGCGCATTATACCACTCTACAATGTAACACCCACTTTTCACTATTTATGTTATGAGTCCCATGTAATAGGGGGTGAGCCTATTGCCATATACCGGACATATTTCCAGACTCCGTGCTACTACTGAAAATTTTTTATATACCCAGTAATACTTTGCCCGACCCGGGAATCAAACCCGAGACCCCTTGCCCGGCAGTTGCACTTGCGACCACTCGGCCAACGAGGCAGTTATGTTCGAGAGGTTTCCAAACAAGGCTAAATATCTATACATATATGAGATGAGTTGTTTTCAAGAATACCTTTCTATATAAAGAGTTTCCCCGCTCTGTCAAATAAATTTAAGACAAGCCCAAACCACATCAAGGGTAATTTATTAATCTTATTAAAAGCTCTAAAGCATTTTACACCAACATAAGTATAATATAATGCAGGTATAATACATAGATCGGTTCTCAAAGTTCCCAGCAAGGCGATCTACTTAATGATTTAGAGCACACGAACGCATTAGCCGTGCGCCTGCGCTGATCCCATCACATTACTATTAAAAGTCATCGTTCGTGACTCTACACATAGAATTATGCATCTCGGGCCAGGTGCGAGTTACAGACGTTGGCGATTTTAATCAATATAGATATCGTCGCGGTTGTGATTAGGTTAGTCTTATTTTATTTGTCTACGGACTAATTTGAACTTATTAATGTCTTTTTTTTTGCAACAAATGTACGTAGATATGTATAATTTTATCGTTATCATTAATAACGTCTTAATAACTTTTATTATATAAACGTGATAGTTAAGTTAGTAAGATCGCTACCGCTTATAGCTTAGTGGTGTGCTAGGCGTCAGCGCGGTGCTATCCGAGTGTAGCTCAGCTCTAGGCGGTATCACACCTCTAGCGGCCGCCGATACCCGACATTATCGCCACGCCCGCCTCCTTCCCAGTATTGATTGAAAATAATATGTAATTATATCCTCCTCAACAATCACCGCTTCTCAAATAAAACAACGAGAACAAACGTAAGGCTTTGTTGTTTTAAAATTTTCCGTGTTTGGCTTCGGGGAATCTGTAAATAATGCTAACTTAAAACAAAAGCGCTCGAAACACGTACAAAGTAAAGATAATTTCCCATGAATAAGCAAAGGCAGCTGTTGTATGTACCAACAGAAACAAAATGAACAACCACGGCAACAAATCATACAAATTAAATTTCTACAACTTGACACGACAATTACGAACACAAACATTAATTTCCGCAACAACTTAAACAAAATGAATAAAAAACCGTCGCTAGCAACAAATACGCTACATTCCAGTGCCGCTGCACTGCGCCCACCATTATAATTGCCTTAACCGCTACGTGTTATAAATCTTTCACCAAGATGAAGATTACGCTGTTTGTAATAAAAATAAACATTCCCTTGCCGCGGACGCGATGATACTATGACAAATTAATCGGAACGCGCTCGACGCTTTGTAATAATTTGAAAATAGAACGTCGCGTGGCTGCACCGCGTCTGCTCGTCGCGGCAATGGCCTAAGCACGTGTAATAATAGATTAGTGTTATTAATCCAAGTGTGAAACTCTCATTCATGACACTTTTTGTAGACACAGCAGGAATTCGAGAGGGAAAATTGTGTTTTACAGACGACACGTCACGCGTCGCGTCGTGTTAAATGATGCTGGTGACAGATACACGAGTCTGAGCTAAATTCGAAGAAGGTTACCTAATGTTTTCGTCTCGTTATGATAAAAACATCAAAAACAATTTGTAGCGTCGTTTGTTTAGAATATTTTCTACACATTGATCAATGATAAACGTTAACTCATAATTTACTCCAGGGCATAGAAATGACTAACTAATTACAAAAAGCCTTGAATTTTAACTACATTATTCTAATTT